ATATTAGGTAAAACTATTGAAAACTTGGTTAAAAATAGAATATTTTTTCAAAAACTAATCATAAAAAATTCAAACTTGTACAAAAATTAAATATTGGCGGATTTTATTAGTAAATTACATAATTCTAATACAAAAATTAATTTACCTATGAATCATTATTTATATTGAAGCGCGTCAGTGAAGAACAACATCGTGTACCATTGTTCCCATTAACGTGAGAGAAAATATGTCCCCAATAAAGAGAGAGAAAATAAGTAGTTCAAAAGAAAGGGAAGAAAAATTAAATAAAAAAAGAAATACAACAAAAAAAGTGAAGAATGCATGTCAAAATGGTAAGCAACAAAAAATTCTTCTCTGTAACCGTTTACGTGACGATTTTTGCAAAAAACTTGAGATCTTTCGGATTAAAGATTTTAGAAATACAACATCAAAGATAAAAAAAAAATGAAACATCGGCTAGCAAAACCAGAAGTTAAATAATTGCAATTTGACAAACATTGATTTGGACCGGTAATCAAGAAATATCAGTTTAGTGCTCATGGTAGAATAGACACGAATCCAACCATTAGTTCAATCTGCTTTGATAACTATGGTTCGAATCGCTATTCTAGATCAGATAGGACCAATTTTCCGGTGTGGAAATCATCCAAAAGAAATTTAATAATAATTTCAAATTTGAAAAATAAAAATTTAAAAATAATGAAATTGGTTAGAGCCAGATGATCCGGCCTATTCGGATCGCTCAGTTGCTTGATAGCCTCACCCGATTATCTCACAAAATCAAGTGAACACCTTTAAATTGGACTTATTCTCACTATAACTTACAAACCGGGTCAGTACCCGACGATTTCAGATCCAAATCGGCATTTTCCCAATCTCATTGCATTTTACTGGCTTATCGGACTTGTACAAAAATGGGTTGAAATTCGAATTTACATCAAGCAGCTGGAAAATGAAAGGTGGGAGAGTAAGTCGCCCACATGTCATACTTAAACTTGACCTTATTAAGGGCTACAACTTGATAGATCAGTCACATTTACTGAAAATTATGTCGGATGAGTTTCAAAAGTAAATGAGAGAGATCATGGGATGTCTATCTTCAATGTACTTCTCGATATTAATCATCGGACGTTTTAACCATCGAATATCATACCAGAAACAGCATTTCTGGCAGTCTAGGAGGCCGTTTAAAAGAACTGTCTGGCTGTGCAGCCTAGTCATCATGCAAGTTGGTCGGCTACATACCGCCCAGTGTACGGCCCCTTGCACACCGCCGCTTGTCATCCGCCGCTTGGGGCCAGGCATGTGGCCCAGCCACAAGCGATCCAGCCATGATTGCATTGCCTCGTGGCTTTGCAATGAGTCATGTCAACCCTTGAATGTGTGGTTGATGCATGGCCGCATGCGGCTACCTCACATCCCCGTTTCAAGGGGAATGGATAAAGCCACGCTTCGGCATTCTAGGGCATTGGATCATCACATCCACGGATAGGGAGTCTTTTGACCTCGAAACTCCTGTCTTAAGGGAATATATCAATTTTCGACCATGATACCCGGAAATCCAAAGCCTTAAAGTCCCTTTCCCAAATAGTCAAAATCCATGACTTTTACCCACCATATGATCAATCCCAATTCTTGACTAATCCATTGTTTGCACAACAACTTCGGGGACACTCCTGCCGATCTGATGTCCTACTACAAGAACATATTCTGGTCATCTAGTAAGATATATAGACCAGCGTTCTGATACTTGGCTGAGGCCACTCGGACTCGGACATGTAACTCGGCCCCACCTTATGGCTAGGTGAGTTTTGGGCGAGTCAGTTGTACATTATAGTTTCTCTAGTTTAATTATATTGAGGAAAAAGTTTATATAAGGTTGCAACCTTAAAATGTAGAATTATAGATGCACCTTAGAAATCCAGCGGAAAATATTGTTTTAATGTTGAAAAACCCTCCAATTGATCATCTCGACATCGAGATGTATGAATATATATATATATATATATATATATATATATATAAATGATTTTGAGTCTCAGAAATAGTGCATCTTGCAATACATTATCTCGACCATCCATTTTCAAGATTTTCATATGTTTATAGATCTACTTTATTTTAACCATTTTTGGAGTTTAAAATTTTATAATTAGATATGAAAATAGATTTTTCAAAAATTCCTATGAATTTTTACACCAAAATTACTTGTTATGATAAAATTTGAAGGTGCACCTTAATTGATTTGTTTAAGGTTGCAACCTTTATAGAAACCATACCCTTATATTAGTACATCAAATCTAAATTAGATGAGTTGAAGTGTCTTTTTGGTTACTACTACCACGTAAACTTCAACCTTGCCAGGTTTGAATCCCCATAGCAGCCACCCGCTCAAATAGAGGTCTAGACCTCTTGCAAAGTGACCTATTTAGGTGGGAAGGAATAAGCAACACAATAACTGTTGCTTGATGATAAGAACGTGGGACTTGTAATGTATATAATTGAATTTTATCTTCTTTTTCTAAAAAAATATGAATTGAACTCGGGAGAGTTACTCGGACTTGCCCCAGTAAATCGCATCGGCTAGGGCCTGAGTACCTTGGCCGAGTCAATTTTTTGAACATTGATATAGACCTTCATTTATAATAACATCTACCCCCTTTTGTTCATTCTATTATTCATTATGTTTTCGATCTGTGCTTTTGTAGATGTGTTATGATCAACGTGTTTCATGGTAACCTGACACACTTTTTGTAGAACCTTATTGTAGGCTCTAATTCCAGTTTTATAAAAATCCCTTCCTCTCTTGTTTTTAAACCAGCCTCTGTGAAATTCCTTGTGAGGTCGCTCCTGTCAGTGAACCCCCCGTCTCCCCCAGTTTCGATGGGTGAGAGGGGGAAGTTGAAAAGGGGGTTGGTATCAATGGCTTGGTGCCTAACACGTGGTTGTGCTAAGTCTTAATTTGTTTCAAAAAATACATATCGAACAAACTCTGTGGTTCGGCCTTAGGGGTCTCACGAGCATGCATGCATGGGCATGACTCAGTAACAACACTAGATGGACCTTGGTTCTTGCATTCGATCCAATGAACACGGAGGTTCCTTTTGTAAGTCAGCCAAGATTTCCCTTGATATTCATTGACTTAATTTAGGACTTAATCTAATGTTGTTACTGGTGTTCATCCCATCGCCGTTGCTTCTTTCATGTGTAAACTTCACAATCGGGAATTTACCTACTTTGCTACTCGCTAGCCTTTTGGCACCCTTACGTCGAGAGACTTCATTAGATTCATCACCAGGGCATTTGTAGGTACGAGAAGAAAGAAAGACCAATGTGATCTTTAACGGGGGAATATATATATATATCAACCCCTTTTGTTTTGGCAACAGATAACTTACAAGTGATTTTATTACAATAACATATACTTCAAAATAAAATCAACAAAATAACAAAACCAAAATCTTGAAACTTGATGCCATTAGAATAACTATTTATTATGCTTGAGAATATAAAGATGAAATTGCAAAAAACAAAAGTAGAGAATGCTGGAGATTACCTCAACTGGATTTATTACACCCTACACCGAGTCACCACCATCCGATGGCGTGATATCAACGATCTAGCTTCAATATCAACCAGGAAAGCAATTTTAAGGCCAAAATTTTCTATGGAACTTTAAGACCCCTTTTTAATCACCAAGCTTTGATCCTAGGTCAAAAACGCTTAAGACCTAGTTTAGCATATCCTCTACTATCCACCCCTTAGGTTTAGTCAAGATGAGAGAGAGAGTTAGGAGGTAGCCTAAGGTTGGGGTGTGTCCCTCTATAGATGAGCTAGGAGAGAGATCTAGAGAGAGGGAGAGGAGAGAGAGTAGGGTGTGCCCCTTAGAGAGGGAAGAGAGAGATGTGTAGAGAATAGAGGAGGGGAGGTCCTCTATTTATAGAACAAAATTAGGTTTTCTTAGGGTTTCCCATAGTTTGCGTCTTTAGTGAGATTGAGTGTGAACTATTGATCAAGGGTAACTTGTGTGGTGAGAGATCTGAGCCATCCATTCCATAGATGGGCCATCAACATTATAGAAGGTGCATGAACCCTTATCACCATTTTCTAAATAATTTTCCCGTCAATAGAAATTATCTATCTAAATCAAAATATTGTGCATTCCATAAAATAACACAAGCATTTTCATACTTTTACAAAATTTTTCAAAATTATATCAAGTCAATATTTAATGAATATATATCAAACCATATGGCCACATACCATATTTAAAAAGATAGCAAGTGAATAAATGGGTGGGGCGTGCCACCCTAGAGGGGGCTCCATGGTCCTCACTTCTTACAATTAGGTAGGCTCATGTGCACAATGGGCCCTATGAAATTTTATATATATTAAAAATTCTAAAAAATAATTTTAGAATATTATTTCAATATTTAAACCATTGTAAAAGCAATATCTTTAATTTTATAAATCCAAATATTATAAATAAAATATCCAAGGGTTAATAAAACTTCAAATAAAAATTATCAAATAATTTCTATCATAAAACAAACATAATTAAATTAATTTATTGAGAAAATGATCCATATCGTTTAGGAATTGAATCGAAAGTCATGGGGCACTTTACCTTCAACTGTGGTCTGCAGACCATACTTGCTTTATCGAACCGACCCAATGTTTCCCATGACGCACAGTCCAAGCAGGGACTCATTAGAGGTTTACCAAAGCCTGGTTGATGAGCCAAGGGATCGCAATCCCAGTATGTAGATTTCAGGTCCTCCCCTAGAGATGGGCCAAGGTCACCTAGACCTGATGCGACCACAATTCCTATGGTGCATAGGGGTATGTCTCGCACATGTATACACTTTACCCAGAAGGTGGCTTGCTTTCCTGAAATGATCTATCAATATGCATGCCATGTGATGGTATATGGATGAGGCTTTGGCCCCAGTCTCTATATGTCACCATTACATAAAAGGATCACACAGTCCTTCGACTCACTCATCCAGGCATACTCCGACCTCATCAAGGGATGACCTATTAGAACCCTTATCGATTTATACTCTATGCCCAGACAACATGAGTTTTTTTTCAACCGACTAGCTTAGACCGTCAAGCACAATCTGGTGTCTGCAAATATTGTTTTCATAATATGGTCAACGTGAGACTACACTCCCACTGAATTCACGTTCTACCATATCAAATGTTTTTATTGCAATCACTCATAACGCCCTTAATGGTCACATAAACCCAACGCGAGAACCTTGCTCCTAGTTCCCATTTTTTGGGGAGTCTTCATTTCCATTCATTGCTTAAGACAAAATAGTCCATGCCACAAACATTTACATAACCCCTTTCATACGACATGTTTACGACAAAAACAACTATGTCTGAATGGCTAAAACCACTAGCAATGGTAAATGTGATCATAGCATCATTCAATTACTCGGGAGGAGCAATCTTCAATAGTCAAGGTTTATACCATGTCCTCCAAGAGTCCTCTCTTGATGTATAGGTCATGGACGGTGTATTGGCAGACATTCCCCCACGGAATAACTAAGAGTCAAGGTAGGTGAGCCGGTTGCACATTATGGTCATTATGGTGTTACATTCGAATGCAGGCTAGATGACACTAGAATTTGAGAGAGAGAGAGAGAGAGAGAGAGAGAGAGAGAGAGAGAGAGAGAGAGAGAGAGAGAGAGAGAGAGAGAGAGAGTAGACGTAGAGAGAGGACGTAGCGTAAGTAGAGTACGTAGTCGTAAGTAGTAGTAGTAGTAGTAGTAGTA